TCGAACTTAATTGATTCAAACGTCGATCTCGTCATGTACTTAATTGGGGCTATTAGGTTCGGCTCATGAAAAGTTCGACGTTTGAACCGGGCCTAAGAGAAACTGTTTCAATCCATTAACATCTTGAAGTTAACATTGGCCGAAGAAACCTATGGCAACTAGAGGAAACCACCAAAAAACAAATCTTTTTCCTATCACGAGCGTGCATATGCATGGTATGAAGAAAAAAAATGTAAGTGTCCCAACGGCATTCGAACCATTGTTTCCCGAGATACTCGTTTGGTCCTGTGCCCAGCCCCTGGAGAGAACCGTGGAGAGTTACGTTTATTTACTAGGTTCATATTTGAGGAGAGAGGAAATAACGTTGGAACGGGGGGCGGGGGTGGGGGGTGGGAATAAATCACAAGTCCCTGGACATACTATAACAACATAAAATACTAAAAAGCTCTAGAGTGGAAAGCTCATAATCAAAAGAAGTTACGTTTTTGTTTTAGGTAAAACCTAAACTCATTGGCTTTTACTCCTAACCCGAAAGGAAATGGGGAGGAAATATCGGGACAAAAAATGAGTACGGGTATTTGGGGGTTTGTTCGAAAGAAAGGGGGAGGAGTTGAGGGTTGTTATCAGAATAGTGGGATATATTTTCGGTTGTTTTATGATGCAGTCACTTGAGAAGTAACCATATTAAGCAGCTACATCGTGAGGCGAGCGCAATTTTAACACATTGATCACCGCAATGAACAATCTTTCCACAAGGTGTACAGATGCAAGATCATGTCTGCCGGAACACATAAGCAAGTCAGGAGTAAAAAACGTCGCAGATAATGGTTGTCTAATTCAAATGTGAGCGTGATTTCAAGGGGCGCATTGAATACGACGTTAGCACGGGCGACACGTCCTTGCTGAGGCCTGGTTGACACAAGCGACATGACGTGACGACGTAACGACATGATTGATTGCTTATGTTGGTAATGTGAACATCGACATAAAGACAACGAAAAGATGCGTTTTTTCGAGTCGTCATGTTGCTATTATGTCATTAGTGACATTTAACACGACCGTTTTCAGCGGAAACTTCAAACGGCAAACCATTCGAGGTCACGTGACCAAGCACTGCGGTCACGTTTGGAGCTCTCGACCAGCGCGGGTTTTCAACGCTGAGAAGTAGGCTTTCATTTAACTGAACCATTTTTTTCCTGAATTTTTGTTTANCAACGCCGAGAAGCAGGTTTCGTTTTCATGTAAGTGATTTACCTGAATGTTTTTTATCTCGAATTTCTGTTTATACCACGTTTTTAGTAAGAACATTAGTAAACCAGTCTTTTTAGTACAAGTTTAGACAAAATTTTTAAGCCAATGAGTGGAAATAGGACTTTTTGTTGCCATTTAAAAACCAAACACTACAGTTACCTGGAAATTCAATATGGCGGCCTCTTCAAGTGAAATTACACCTTTATGTTTTCTAGCTGAGCCGATAGGAGTCGCAAACGTCTAATACCAAACGCCTAACCTGCAACTGCCGTTTGCGGTTTACCGTTTAAGAAAACCTTGGTGCTAAATGTCTCTATTATGCCAGGATGTTCACACTGCAAACACAATGACATAACTTCCTTTTTATGTCGTTATGTCGCTAGTGTGAACTGCGATTAAGAAACAAATTTAACGACTGCAAACCTCTCACGAAAAGGACATTTATTTCCATGGAAAGCAAATATCTGTGCAAAATCACAGGTCTTCAAGAAACAAGGGCAGTTTTAGGATGAGTAAGGAAAACCTTGTCCAGTCCTAGCCTTCTCTCTGTCACGTAACGCTACGTTTTCTCCTTAGAGTGTAGCGTTGCGTTACAGAGAGATGGCCAGAACGGTCTTATGAAAATCAAGCCCTGAAGTCAGTTGACAACTACGAGGACAGATCTCTATATAATCCTGGTAAAAACGCGCAGGACTGTCCCTCTTCGTTGCCCTGATCGTTTCCTGGGGTTTCCTGCTTTGCGATTTTTCCACCAATCAAAGAACCACCTTCTGTGCCCGCTTCATCGCTACCAAGTGCCCTCTTTCGGGCACTGGCGCGGAGATTGTACGGAGACGAAGAAGTTAACGTTTGTGACGGGTCATCGTCGCGTGAATTACCACCGGCAGACTGTTGATTTGATGTGGCGAGGTTCTTTTCTTGTGAAGACTGGACAGGGTTTTCAGTTGGGGGGTTGAGAAACTGAGAAATATAGAGAGACAATTTCT